TTGGGATTGGGAGGAGAGGATGAATTGGGTTGTGACTGGGATGTAAAATGAACAAATAAATTAATGGAAAAAAAAAGAAAGAAAATGAGATAGAACACAAAAATCAGAGCCTTCTCTAGCCCCCCTTTTTTTCTGAATTGGCTTATTATTGAAATTAATCTGGCTTTTATGAAGAATAACATTAACATTAAAGCAGACAGGGCGATGTGAATATTAATAATAGAATTACTGCAATTGGAGATTTGTACTGCGCTGGTCTTACAGCCTCAGGGTGTTAGATGAGAAGCTCTGGCTACCCCTAATCACAAAGCCCAGCATCATTCATCATTCTTGTCGGCTCACAGTGATGGTCAGGATGATTTGATCAACAGAGCTGGGTTCCGGAATTGGTGCTCCAATCACATGATAATGAATTACATGTCATACTTGAGCGTCATTGCATTGAAGGAAACATTTTCAACCCTTCCACCGGAGGAATTTGTTTAGCCCCTTTAGCTCTCACACCTGTGTTACCTAAATGCCAAGATGACAGAGTACATTTAAACCAAAGAATTTAGGACTGGCAGATCTAGAGTCCTTCACCTGACAGTTTTGATGTACTCAGATCTTTGGTGCTGGTATATTTTGTAGCCCTGGGACGTATCATGACATTGTCTCTCTAAATTAGGCCTTTCTTTGTGCCATAAGTATCAGATAAATTAAAAAAAATCTAGTCTTTGCATCATGTGATACTGGAAATTTTTTTCTTCATATAGAGGTATGTCTTAGAAAGCCTAATTTTTAATACATTATTCATTCGTGAAAAAATTCTGATTAAAAGCAGGCAAGATGAAAATCAAATATTTAAAAATATGCAAATGCAGCACTGTCAGTTTCTCTCAATGGTGCCAATATTTTTCAGTGCAAACACACTTTAACTGCAATTTTGCTCTGAAATCAGACATATTTGATAAAAATAGAAATGAGTAATCCTCTTATGAAATAACACAAATTATGCTTTGGGAGAATATAGTTTTGCTATAAAGTAGAAAATGTTTTAATATTTATATAAGAAAACCAGGACATGTTTATAAACACTCTATCAAGCATTTTTACAATGGGACCACCACGACATCTGGAAACGCAATAAATATTCACGGACACACGGAGTATGAAATATACATCTTGATTTTATAATCGTGTGTGCTTTATTTTTTTACACAAATGGAATGGAAGTGTTGAATATTTACACTTAACAGGAGTGTAAGCTGTGCAGTGTCTCTGTAAACTCCAGCCAGGCAAGGAGTAATTTCCCCTCCCTCCCTCCCTCCCATCCTGCATTACAGCTCGATGGAGAAACACCCTGTCAGAGAGAAGCACAAAATCGTCATAGTAAAAGGATCTAATGGGTACAACCTGGTGCACTCAGAAGTTAAGATACACTTAGGAAACACAAATTTGAAAAGAAGAAAAGTTTGCCATCCCATTGGGAGTCAACCTTGCCACTTGGTTGTCTGTCCTTGTGAGATGTGAGGGAGATACTATGCTCTTTTAGCTCATCTTTGTCTAAATTCTCTGCCTGTCTTAGCTTGTCTTCAGCTGCTACAAGGAACTGCACAGCTGTACGAGAAATGATTTCTGAAGCACAGGTTTCAGTGAGGAAGAATATTTACAGACTGAAGTGTGTATGTTTCCAACCACATTGAACCATACTTCGTGTAATGTGTATACATGGTTTGCATACCATATATACCACACACTTAAATAATGCATATCCACAGAATTCTCTATGGAGTTTCCTGGAAAATCAGTTGTCACAGGAAGTACCCCACATGCTTTGAGGGAACTGATGTCTCCCCAGGAGTGACTCATTAGTATAATAAATTTAGGAACTAACCTTAGTCCTTGGCTTAAATGCTTTTTGTAGGAATTTTAGGCAGGACCAAGGCAGGAAAAAAGATGTCATTTCACTGGCAAGTCCATTCAATCTCACCAGAGCAATCACAAGCTGAAAAGGAGAGGGGGCTTCACATGGAAATGGGAAAAAAAAAAAAGGTAGAGGGAGAAAACTCTCTCCAAACCAGGGCGGTGTCATGGCTTCAGTGAGGTTTGTGAGAACAGTTGTTGGGGCCAGAGTTTGCCTCTGTTGAAAGGAAGTGTCCTCAGCCTGGGTGGTGCTGGGAGTGAGTTCCTGGAGACAGGCCAGGCAGAGGCTTCCATGTGCTGGGGGGCCCACAGCTCTTGCATCAGCACTGCCAGGGCAGTGGTGCAGGCTGGCTCCAGGTCAGGGCCTCGTACTCAGCTCTGCTTTCTAGGCTGAGTAAGTAAAATGGTGACCCCAAGTATTTGTGTCGTTAGTCCATTGTGTGGACTTGCTGTCTGAATCAGCCATGAGCCCTTTATAGGACAGGAAAACAAAGGAATGGGATGTGCTGATGATCAGAACTATGTGAGGAGATAAGAAGGAAGGCAGGTTTGGGAGAAAAATAAAAAGGAAAACAGGAGATGGAGGTAAAGGAGGGATGGATGGAAAGACAGAGGAGAGAGGGGGGCAGTCAACAACCCAGGGAGGAGAGAAAGAGAGGATCAAAATGACAGATGATGAGAGGATAGCAGTAGAAAAAAAAATGAAGGGAAGAAATGGGCGAGAGCCAGAGGTATACAGAGCATCCCCTGGCTCAGTCCTGAAGGGCTGGCAGTAGGATCTAAGACAGCTCACAGAGGCACCGAGTGCAGCTTCATCTAGATGGGCTTGCCAAGTGTATAGAGCCAACCCCTGAATTTGGGTCTGGGAGAAAAGGCTTTCAAAGAATAGGCCATCAATCTCATGGAAAAGAGCAATAAGCAAATGCCTCAGCAATAACTGGCTGACAGGTGGGATTTCGGTTTTGGTAAAGCTGAGACCCCCATGGTGCTACACATTGTACCAGAGCATGAAAAATAGCACCAGTGACACGATCTGGCACTTTTCTGAAAGGGCCCAGCATGTGAAGGTGACACTGTGCCCCCAGCGAGCCTTCAGATTGGAGAGAGCTCCGGACAAAGTTTGCAGTGTTAGCACCAGTCTGGCCCACGGCTCCAGGTGCATTTGCACCAGATGTGATCTGGGTGACTTTCATGCCATTTCTATGTCGTCAGCAGATTTGCTGCAAAATACACCAGTTCTTTGGAGCCATAGAGACCTCAACATTGGGAAGCGCAAGACAACACAACAAAATGGATGAGTGAATTCTATAGGAAAAGACCCTCTCACCAATGTGCTTGGTGATTCTTCAAGCAAATATATATGTATATATATTTATATAAATCTACATAAAAAATCAGTGCAAATGCTAATTTGGAAGCATCTACACTGGGAAAATAAATAATCATATGACTACAAAACCAATGGTTTGTGGTTCAATTTGATTGTACTCAGCCACAGCAATACTATCAAATGGAAAGCACATCACACAACTGGAGGAAACATCTACTCATTAATGACAGTCCTCTAAGGTAAATGGGTGCATGCTCAGTGGAGAAACCAAAGAAGTTAGCATGGCGGCCTATAAAGAGAGCTGGGATCAGGAATGGCATTCTAGTGGCAGAAAACTTCTGAGAGCAATATTGATGGAAGTTGGCCTCGACCTGAAACTGGTGAGTTGCAGACATGGACACATCTTTTAACATTTTGAGCCCTCTAAGGCTAACTCTAGAAAAATTAAACTTTCCTATGAGGGAAAAAAATGTGCATGGCTGCTTGCTTCTCCTTCCACAGGCAAAGGCAGCCTCAAGACTATAGGTAGATACATAATTCTGCATTTTAATGTTTGTTTTGGTGCCTGCAGCTGGGCAGACGATGGTTTTTAGTGAAAGGTGAACAACCCTTGGTTTTGGAAAGAGACTCTCAGTTTTAAGTTCTGAAGTTCTAGCTTAGAAGAAGCCCCATCACTCTGATGGCTCTGTCATGTGTTCTTGTACTCCAGCCTGCATGCTGGTTGGCTGCACAGTGTGGCAGAATCCCTGCCAGGTCTTGATGTACCCCAGAAATAAGGCGATGGGGCTTAATCTGGGCAGGCATAGAACCCAGACATGAGTGGTTATTAATAACACTAAAAAGTCTCTCTCTGAACACTGGGCAGACCCATTGCTGACGCCACCATCAGCGCTAACGTGGGAAGCTAACTTTATGTTTCAGCTTATAGGCTTTGGGAGGTTTCTTTTTTAAAATCATCATTAGTATAATTGTTAGAAAAATAAACTTGGTCCAGGTGCAGCCCTAAGAAAGGCAATTCAACTGATCGAGCTCAAAGTCAGAAATCGTCCTCTCCTTGTGGTTCTCTTTGCCCTATGTACTGAAACAAAAATTGTGCATCCCTCACCACTCCCAACCAGATAACTTCTCTTTTTTCTCTTCCTCATAGAAAGGACAGATCTCCCCCTGTAATGCCAACTCGGGCTTTTACAAAACACTCATTGCTCTGTGGGAAAAAAAAAAAAGAAAAGATAATCCTAATGACTTATGGTTTGCTGGAATACTGAATGGTTCTTGAACTGTATGCCAGTAACTAGGGTCAAAGTTATTTGACTATCTGTGTGGTTGACTCAGGCTGTTTGACGAGAGGAAAGCAATTGTTCCCTTTTGATTATTTGCATGAGTTTGTCTCTGAAAAGCCATTGGCTTAAAAAAAAAGAATTGTAACAAAAATCTCTTCCAAAAAGATCTATGAGGGAAAGTTATGAAGGAGTGTGTTCCGTAAGAGTGTATCGCTAGTGTGCTAGTGTGCATGGGGGATGGGGGATGGGTGGGAGGGGGAAGTCTTCATCAGACCTGCAGGGAACTCAGGTACTCTGAATGGATAATTGGCAACAAACGGGTGAGCGCAGCCTCAAATTCTGGAATTTGATCTTCTGCTGAGAGTGCGTACATTTAGTCTTTCAATGTTTTTTTTTTTTTTTAGTCTTTACAAAATATTTCACAAAACTTTTTAACCTATAGAAATTCATTTCTATACATTTAATATATTTTATTGTATAAATTATTCTCATCTTTAGTGCTTTCTTTCAGCTTATAAATGGCAAAATAGACAATGACAATCATAAAGCTAGGCCAGATGGAATCCCCTCCTCAGTAAGATTAATCCTCCATACACTTGTCAATTTTATGACACGCTTGTCTTTGCACTTGCCAGCCAAGGAAACTAAGCAATCATCCTCCCCTGACAATATGTTGTCTCCAAAGGGACCCCTTCCTGTTTTCCTTATTTCCTTTGCTTGTTAAGAAATCAAAGGATGTGCATAGTTATAAAATTCGAATGTACCAATTACAGAGGTGGGGAAGGGGAAGGTTGGCGAGGTTTGAGTGCTGGCCACTTTTCTTAAAGCAAAAAACACAGAGAGCTCAGCAGCTAAATCAGCTCTGGACATCTGCTGGGGTGAGAAGGCTGCCCATCTCTAGGGCAGAGAGCCCATCAGAGGTCTATCCCTACACCTGGTACTTTGAGCAAACCAAAGCCTTCCTGCATACTGCAATGTCTTTTCTGTCCCACCCTTTGGCCCCTCTGTTTCCTTCATGGCTTCACACAGTTTGTGTTGTACATTCATAAGGATTCACATTGACTGCAAAAACATAAATGCAACAAAAACATAAAAGCCTCCAAGTATTATATTATATATATTTTGTTCTTCTAAATGCTCTTCTGTCGTTGTCAGAGGTGCAGTAGCTAATTTATAACTTTTCCTTTGAGGGAATCCAGATGAAAGGTCCAGACTGCTCTTCAATAACAAGCTTGCATTGATTGTAAATATCTTCTAAGGTGTCTCCTTGGACAATAGCTGTGGCAAAAACAAAAATACCCAGAGTTAGGAGGCATTCCGTTGGGGGCAAGGACAGTGATCTCTCACCCAACAGAAGCTCGAATCAGCAACAGACAACTCATCATGAGGCTTGATGTTCATCATGAGAACTTGGGTTCTCTGGAAGTGCAGCAATCCTTCTTAATTGCTGAGCCATCTCTCCAGCTCTTTGTTTTTTTTTTTTTCCCCACGTGGATGCTATCCTAGAATGAAGTAACACTCATACTGCTGAGAGAAACCTTAATGTTAACTTTGGTAAAAATAATTACACACTGCTCTGCTGCTGGCACTTTGAGTATTCAGAACAACTGCAACAAACACCATCTCACTTCCTGCCAGTAATTCACGAGGGGGGTTGTTGTAATTAATGTTATTTTGGAGGATGCTGGGGTCAAATTCTGAGCCTTATACAAGCCTGGCAAAAAGTCTACTCCTGGAGCTACACCTCAGACTCAGGATCTTGTTTATAAACCATTGAGAATCAGCTGTAAGATAAATTCAACCAAAGCTGGTTTCTCTCTGATTTAATCAGTGTTTCCTAAGAGCAGGGAAGAAGGAGGAACTCAGGACATCCACAAGAAATTCATATTTCATCCCTAAAATATCTTGTTGCCAAAGACGTTTTTAAAAAGTCAAAAGCTGTTATTGCACTTACAACAGCATTAACGGAAACATCTCCAAGTTTGTTTCTTGCGCTGCTGACTGAGGAGATAGGCCTACAGGTCTTCAAAGCAGGAACCGCAGGACAGTAACTGTTGAAGACACTGTCCATTTTGAGCCTAAAAACATCCATTTTCATGTTTTCTGAATCAATCAGGGAGATAGTTTAACGAGGGAGTATGTTTAAGATCTCTTTGATAGCAGAAGACAGCTCAGAGGCATCTGCCACTCCTGGTTTAGGGCCAGTGGAGAACTGGAAGCGAGCTAGCTCAGAGAGGAGAGAATCTGGAGCCCTAAACCAAATAGGCAAGGCAGACAGCATAGAAAACATAACTAGGCAATCTCTACTGGAAGGCTCTGGGGCCTGGCTTTACCAGGCATGGAACAGATTCTAGCACAACACCAGGCAATTTATCTTCTTTTCCTGTAGTGCCTGGGGCCAAGGAAACTTACCTGTAAAATATTCTCCGAATTCTTGTTCTAGCTTAATTGCCCGGTCATAGGTTTTCTTGGCTTGCTCCTCTGTTAGCCGTTTATTCATCTCCCTGGGAAACGAGCGTTTGATATTAGAGCACAAAGAGTATACTGAATCTTCCAAATTTTAAAATGCATAGCAAAAAAGAGCCCTGCTTCACTTTGGATTCACTGGTGTAGCCATTTCTGTTGTTGACAGCTCCTTTCCAGGGTGTTCACTCCCTTGGAGGACAGGCATCATGTGCAGCAAAGAACTGAAGGAGAACCCATCTCCTTGTGACCTGTGGCCTCTGTTTGTTCCCCTGCAGTCCCTAGAGTGGGACTAAACTTCCTTTCCAACAGGAACTACCGTATTTAAATGAAGTGCTTGTGTGTCCCTTGAGGTTCCACTTCAACAGAACAGACTGTCCTTCAACCACTTTTCGGTTGTATTCCTAAACCCAAACTTCCTATGTTTGACTTTGAGTAGATTTCCACATCTCTAACATGCATGTAGGACACAGAATTCAACACAGTCTTCTAGAAGTGGTCAGAAGAAAGAGGAAATTATATCTGGGTTTGTGAGGCAGCACTATATCAAACAGAACTAGTCTTGTTTGTTCTCAGGTCCTTACTTTACAAAAGGTTTAGTTTCTTGCCTTCATCCCTTCTAAGGTCTGCAGTTCATGCTCCATGCAAGCCTGATAAGCAGAAACAAACAGAGCTTCTGGTGTATTATGGGAAGTAGGGCAGATCCCTGAGGTATGCTGTGGCTCTAACTACTCAACCTCTACAAACATTGAGGCATGTCCATAGTGACGAGGACTCTAGACTTCCTGTTCTTGTGACCAAGTGACAGCAGAAGTGTCTGCTGAAGGACTGAGCTACAGTGGACACAGAATATCTGAAAAGTGCTGGGACCACAGTATTTTTAACTGTGACTATAATCAAGCAGTTTAGTCAAATGGTGAGCTAGGAGAGGGAGCTTTGTACAGAAGGATCTCTAACCTAGTGGGTGTAGGGTACAGTTGGATAGAAGGAATAGCCTTTATTAGCACCACGTGGTAAATGTGGTTGCAAGCAACTAGTTGACTAAGTGGCTAATCGGGATTTGGTGCGATCTCAAGAATGATTTGAAGTGATGGCTATTCGTGGAGCCTGATCTGATCAGTACATTTATGAACAGAACTATGATACCCTATCCTGTCAACACAAAGAATTACTCTTTGTAAATTAAAATGTATTGAAAAGGCAAAACAACAACAACAAAAAAGAAACTCTGATGGCTGTTTGATTTTTGTTCAGATAGGAAATGAACTACAAAGAAATTTTGCCTATGACAGTCTTCGTCTGGTTTATAACTGACTATGTAGAAGAATGTTATTTGATTATATGGTACCTTAAATGCTACCTAGTCTCAAGGGCAAAGAAGCTGGGAGGAAAATACATATTTTTCTAATTTTTGCTAAAAGGAATTTATTGATTTCTACTCTGGGTTAGTGTTATCCTTCCAGAGCCTCTAGCCATTGAAAGTAGAATTTCAACCAAGTGAACAGACATTTTGATTGGCTGGTTAGGTGCCTTTCTGAAAGCATCAGGGCCTTATATGTCCCTTACGGGCCAGAGATCCAGGTTTGGAACACCTGGTCTTTGTCAATCTCTTTCCTGGTGCAAGTTGTGGGGGCTTGAAGTAGCGAGGGGACTTTGCTACTTCAAGGTTGTAGGTTGTCTATGAAATAACAGGGGTTCTAGAGTAAGAACTTGAACCCCTCCTCCTAATCACACTCTATCCGGGGTCATATTATAGCAAAGTGGGCTATCTTTTGAAACATGGTTATGTGAAGAAAGAAGTTGGGCATGGGTTTGGATGCCACTGAAAGTTGAAGTACAAAGTAGGTATTTACTGAACCTTTGTTGCTTAAATAGTCTCACTGTACTCCTCAGGATTGATGCCTAAGCTTTGGGTTCTTAGAGGGAGAAGCCTGTGGCTTGTTCATTAACGCATGGCATGAGCTTGATTCAACAATTGTCGAGTGAGTGAGTGAAATAGTGTTGAGTGAGGCAAATAAACATAATTACGGCATACATACAAGTAGAGGTAAGCACAGTGCATCATGGGTTCAAAGCTATAACAGACCATCGGTGGTGGTAGGAACATGGACACAGGAAAGCTTCTCATTGCCCTGGGGTAGGCAGAGAAGTCAGGAGGCGGCACATTATGAAAACATCTCTTTCGTATATGCCCTTGAATTTACATTCCTCTCAAGAGGCAGCTGTGCGCTTGCTGATCAGCTTTGTGCACGAGGCATGTAAGAAGTAATGTGTGTGATGGTGTGTCACTGTCTCGTTGTGACAGCTGCCATGCTTTTGTTCCGGCTGACCAAGCTTTGCCCCTTCTTGGGGAATGGGCAACTCATGACAGCGTTGCTCCCGAAGTAAAAAGCCTCAGGAAAGAGTGAACCATAAACAGCTCCCCTTAGTAATGAGATCACACAAGGCTGAGTGTCATGGCCACAGATATGGCTGCAGCAAATTATGACAAAGACACTGCCCTCATTGTGGCATCCAGTCTTTGGCATGCTTAATTTTCCTTGGTGATAAGTGCCTGTGACAGGGCCCTAAGGCAGAGCTAAATAAATCATCTGGTACTTATGGAAGGAAGATCTTCCACTGAGCACCAGATGGGCTGTCTCCCACCGTCACACTGGACTAACTGTGCCACTGCTCTTGGTCCCTCAGGCTTTCCTTCCCTAGAAAGTCATCTACCCCATTGTGTTATGTGGACTAATTTCTATTTCTAAAATGAGCTTTTATGTTGCTGTTCCCAAGAGGCGGGCACTACTTTTCTCCTCTTGAAGGTAACATTGCATAGCTTTGTGCTGCAGTCTACAGATTATAAGTCACTTTTACATAATGACATTTGTGGTTACTTAACTAACTATGAAATACCCTACACAGAAGAAGCTTCACACATGCCCCTGGAGTAATAACAGGAACACTTATTATCATCAGCACACATTTGTCTATGTGGTAACTAGTTAATATTCTTCACATTTGCTTCCTAATTTTATTTTCCTGTCTTGGCAAAAACCCTTGTCTACTTTTACTTCTGGGGATATACTCTGCTTTAAGGATATAATTCTGGCAATTTCCCCAGAGATCAACTATGTGTTTTAAGTTAATTCTTTCAACTGCCATTTCAACTATTATGGTTCAGTTTGCAGCTTCTTTCTCAGAGGAGACCAGACAGGTCGCTGATAGCCTCAGAAAACAATGGCCTTCATCTCTGGGAATACCTTCTATTTTCACCATCTTTCCAAAAGCATTGTTTTCCAGTGTGTTCTGTATGGTTCAGTCTAACAATACTCTCCCACAGCCTGCCTACAGGCAAGTCTTTGAGTTAGGATGCATTGATGTTATCTCTGGCATTCTATAGGAAGCTGCTTGTGTTTTATAATGAGATTAAATTAATGCTCCAAAAAGTAACCTCATATCTTTTGCAATAATAATACTATTTATTGAGTGTGCAGTCATATGACATTGACTATATGAGCCTCTGTGACCCTGTTCAGCCTTCTCTCTACAAGATACATGTCACCATCTAGTTTATAGGTGAGGATCTAATCCTAGGGAGTTCTAGCCATTTGGGCTGAGGTTATATGAAGGATCACTGGTAAAGGAAAGAGCTGGTCTAGCCTGTCCACGTTTCATGTCTCTGCTTGTGGCCTGTTTGCTTTGCTACTGTTACCTACAGCAGTGTCACTGTTATAGGGGAACTGTCCAGATGGGCGTTGTCAGATCATGATGTCTGTCTAATATGCTTACTGTTTTGTGAAGAGAGGTATTTTACAAGTGCTTATGTATTTTGCACAGATGTAGAGATGAATAAATTAAGAAAATAGTCATGTCACTAGGGAAGACTGTCTATATGTCTTAACATAGAGTCAGAATTCTCTGAAGGGCAATGTAGAATGTCAATGAGAAAATTCAAGTATTATTTGTTCCCTTTATTAAAAAAATCAAAACAAAATCACACATTTAATTATTTACCAGTGAAACTGTTCTCAAAGTTAGATATAATATAGAGATGACAGTCTCCTGTCATTTGCAAAAACAAAACCCAAACACTAAAATAACTGCTGTCTCCACCCAAAAACCTTTTAGACCAAATGAAGCTACAACAAATAGGAATTGTAATTAAATAATTTGTAAGACAGCAAAATGTTACTGACTCAAAACGTTCTGTGTACACACCCACATCCACGCATACACGCACGCACACACATATGCAAAAAAGAATTGCTAAATGATCAACACTGGCCTTCCTCTATGACAAACCACGTGGCTGGGGATTAGGAGCAGGGAGCTTGAGGACTTGTCTTCCACTTACATCAGAGGTTCCAGAGACTTGGGCTTTATGAAGATGGCAATGGGATAGAGCTGGGCGACTTGTAACCGCTTAATAGCATTTCCAGATACATCAAGTATACAGTGTTTGCCCTGGTAAAAGATGAGAAAAATACTAGGTTAAAAATATCAAGAAAAATGGCCACTGTCCAATGAAATAAAATAAAGAGTGTTTTAGAGGAAGGCATGAAACTGGGTTAATAAGGACTGAACAGACATCTCACTTCAAAGAGTAATTTGAAGTCTGTGAGGGAGGTATTACTGAAAGCATTTTACAGGGTATAAGACAATAATGACCAATGACCCAAAATTCACTAGTAGGAAGACTGAAGCTCAGCTTTTGAGCATGGGCAGAACTGGTGGTTAGAGTATATACATTTCACCATTTTAACCAGTGCTAAACCTAGCAGAATGGGGATCACAGAAGCGTTGAGCAATTCTATATATTTGTTCAGCTCTTATGTGTACTCTGTCATGATACATACATGATTGAAGGCAGTTTTATATGGCATACACACACACATATATATATATAAATAATACATATATGGTTATAAGCTGATTCTTGTAGAGAGTATGTAAACTTGTTTGTTAACAGATAAAAAGCCTTCTTCTTTATAAAACACCTCATTTAATTTGGTTTCTGGAGCTGAGGATGCTGAGTGCCAGGAGCTACTTCATAAAATATTTCTGGGAAAGCAGAATGATTTGCCACATCACATTCTCCCTCCTGGGGAGAAATGGCCTTATTACTCTGAGCCTAAGAGAACTCTACACAAGAAAAGGGTATTTTATGTAGATAGAAGCAATCGTAAGTCAGCAGTGGGGGGGGGGAAGCATGTTGTCTGTATAAAATGAAGAGTCCAGCAAACGCTCGACTGCTTATCAGGAGTACACCAAGATGCTGCATGCCTTATCACTTAAATAATAAATCCCAGCTTTGCTGTCTGTGAAGTTCAGTAGTTATATGAAAGGAGTTAAGTGATGCTTCATTATGTACTAGCTGGTATTCTTTTCAGTTAGCACAGGCCATGTTTATATGTTCAAGGGGGAAAATACACACAGCTTTCTAGGTTACTGACTAGAAATAGTCCATGTAGCTCGAAAGGCTGCCTGCTGGGAAAAGGAAACTAGAGCTGTTCTAGTGTGTTCTCAGTCAACTTCCTAATGTCGATCTGTTCAGAAAGATAGCAGTTCTATTTACAGGGTTTCACACATGCTCACTGAATGCACCGATCAAGTCAAGTATATTCTTTCTAAGCAAACAGTTTTCTTGGTCCTTAGTAATTGCTATTCTTTCAGGTCAATATTGTTTAATATATGAGAAAGAATGAATATGTAGTACTTGTGTCAGTGCGACTGGCTTTTCTAACCCTTGTTCCATTTATTTTTCTGCAGATGATAGGTATCTATCATCTATCTATCGACTTACCTACCTACATACCTACCTTCCATTTGCTATAGACACCTAGGTTGATTCTATATCTTAGGTATTACTAATGTTGCCACAAGCACCATAGACCTGAAAAAAACCCTTTGATATGCTGATTTTACATCTTTTGGATATGTAGCCAGCAGTAGGACAGATGGTTCAGGCAGATCTAGTTTCGGTTTTCAAGATTTATTGTTTTTACTAACGTGTCCGCATGCGTGTTTGTGTAGGGGCATGTGCACGTCTGTAGGTGCTGGCAGGTCAGAGGCATTGGACGTCGTGGAACTTGAGTTACAGACAGCTGAGAGTTGCCTGACATAGGTGCTGGGAACTGAACTCAAGTCTTTTTCAAGAGCTGGAAGTACTCCTAACCACTGAGCCATCTCTGCAGGCCTTGGATTTAATTTTGAAGTACTCCCATACTGCTCTCTATGATGGCTGCCCCAGTTCGCATTTCCCTTAAAAAGATAACAGGATTTCTTTGCCTTCCTATCTACCCAGCATTTGCTTGCTTGCTTATTTATTTATTTATTTATAATAGCAGTTTTTTACTGGGGTGCAGTTAAAATGGTTTTGAGTTGTTTTTCTGCTGGCCAATGATATTTACCTTTAATACATATGTCAGTCATTTGATGTCTTCTTTGAGAAGTGTCTGTCCACACCATCTGCCTATTTCAAACATTTAGAGTAATTATTTTGTTAAGTGTTTAGAGTCCCTATGTACATTTTAGAAATCATCTCTGTCAGATGACTGGCTGACAGGCATTTTCTCCCATCCTCTGGTTGTCTCCTTATTTTACTGTTTACTTTGCTGTGTGCTAACTTTTTAGTTTGATGTAATCTCATCTATCAATTTTTAATAATGTTTTCTGGGCTTTTAAGGTCCTACCCAATGTCTTGATGTTAACCTGCATTTCCCCTACCAATTAAAGAATTTCTGGTCTCACATTTAGGTTCACAACTCACTCTGAGAGGATTTTTGTCCATGTGTCTGATACTCTGTCTAAATCATTGTTGCTTTCATTAATATGGCTATGTGGTATGTCTTGAATTTGGGAATTGGGGTCTTTGTTCTTTCTGCTCAATATGGTTTTGGCTGTGTTTCCTTTCCTTGTGCATGTGCTTCCATGTAGGTTTAGAATTAAATTACTTCAAATTTTGTGAAGACTATCATTCATATTTTGATAGGGATTGTACTGTATCAGCATTGTGATTTTGGCAGTCTGTCAGTTACTTCTCTGTTGCTGCAATAAAATATCAGATAATAAAGTGCAAACTTAAGAAAGGAAGGGCAGAGTCCATCATGGCAGAGAAGTCACGGTGGCTGGAGCATGAAGTGACTGGCCACAGACAGGAAGCAGAGACAGGTAAATGCTGGTGTGCAGCTCTTTCTCTTTTAATGAAGTCTGAGACCCCAGGGGACCCTAGCACATGGAATCAAGCAGCCCACATTTAAGGAGGGTCTTTCCACAGCAATTAAACTTGCCTGAATAATCTCTCCAGACATGCTGAGAGATTTGTTGCCAGTTCCATCAAACTGTCAATCAGGATTACCCATGGTGGGCAGTGGGGACCTTTTAGCAATGTTAGTTCTAGTCCATGAGCGTAAGAAGTCTTACTTTTTTCTTTTTTTTTTTTTTTTATGACTCTTCAATGTCTTTTATCAGCATCTTGTATTTTCTCATGAAAATCTTTCACTTTCTTGGCTAAGCTTATTTCTAGGCACCTTACTATTTTTATAGCAATTATAAATTGAATTGTTTTCACGGTTTTCTAGAAAATTAATAGAATGTAGAAAAACCTGATATTTGTATGTTGATTTGTATATTTTGGTGCTTTACAAAATTAGTTTGTCAGTTTTATTTTTATTGCTTTTATTTTAGCCCTGTGATGAAATCAACTATATTGAATGAACTTGATGTTCTCCATTCTTGTTTGTTCTTTTTCTTCTCTACTCTTCTGAGATAGGACCTTGATACACTGCTTAGATTGTTCAAAAACTTGTGCAATTATTATGCACCTATTATTGATTTCTCAAGTAGTTTAGACCTTATGGGTGAACTACCATGAATGGTTTGATTTAATGTTATTTTGTGAGTAATGTTTGCATCTATGAATTTCTTTTTCTTTTATTGTTGTATTCTTGTGTGGCTTTGGGACTAGAATAATGCTGGCTATAAAATAAATTTGGGAATTTCAATCATATGAAGGAGGTAGAAAAGTTATCATTAGTAGTAATATTCTTTCTCTCTCTCTCCTTCCCTTTTTTCTTAATTCCTTCCCTCTAAAGTTTTGAGCTAGGGTCTTGTATAGCCCAAGTTGGCTTCAAACTTGCTGTATAGTTGAGGCTGCCCTTGAACTCTGGATCATATTTTTTCAGCCTCTGAAGGGCTGGTATTAAAAAAGCATGTACCACCATGACGGACTTCATTAATTCTTCCTTAAAAGAATATTTGTGAAGCCACTGATCCTTGATTTACTTTCTTGGAAAACATTTTTTTTCCAATGTGTAACATGGCTTATTTTATTCCATGAGTTTCATTTTTAGTATGTACATATATGAAATGTCATAATATATCTTGATCATACTCAACCTTTATTACCCTCTCTTGTCCCAGTTCAACGGCCACTGGATCCCCATCCTCTTCCCAACTAGTCCCTTTTTACTTAATGAATTCCTCTTTACTTACTTTAAATAGGGTTGGCTATAGGTGCTCAGGGGAGGTGTTATTTGCAGGAACATGGAAACTTACTAATGGCTATGCCACTGATAACATGTTCTATCTTCCCAGCAACCAGTAACTGCCTCTAGATTTTTAGAGAGAAGTGGGGCTTCATACACCCCCTTGGGAGACATTTTATTAGCAGCTTAGGTATTATTGCTTGTGATTGCTGTATTCAGACTTTTCATGTCCTCACAGTTCAATTTTAATAAGTAGCCATATGTATCCAGGAAATTTTCTCTATCATGCAGGGTTTTTGATGTATTATCATATCATTTTTCATTAAATTTCCCAATGATCCTTTGCATTTCTGAGGGGCATAGGATGGGATGTCTCCTGTTTCATCTTTAACTTTTAATTTAGTCATCTCTCTTTTCTTGGTTAGTATAGTTTAAGTTCTGTCAATTTTGTTTATCTTTTTGGAAGCCGACACTTTGGTTCAGGCATCTTTTGTATTGTCTCTACAGTCTCTGTACCGTCTACTTCTTGTATAATCATTGTTCTTTGTTTCCTTCCAGCAATCTCACTTGGTGTCCTTGCTTCTCTAGTAGTAAGAGCATTGTTTGGTTACTTATTGGAAATCTGTTTTTTTTTTTTTTTTTTTTTTTTTATTTCCATGTAAGTGGCTGCTTACTGTTATTAACTTTGTAGTTCTCTATTGTTATAGTTTTGGTGTGTTGCATTGCTATCTTCATTTATTGGGGGGGTTATTTAGGTTTTTCTAATGTTTTCAAGAGTCACTCCTTGAATTCAATCCTCTGTTCACTTATAAAATTTCTTTTATTGTGGGCTTCTAGTTTTAATGACACATCCAGGATAACACTTCAATGGCTTTAAATTTGAATAGAATTGATGTGTGAATGTCTGTGAAATCCATTTGATTGATAACATAGGTGAACTCTATTGATTTTATGTTTTGTTTTTGGTCTGGATGACTTTTTTCCATTGATAAAAAGTGGGTGTTGGATTAGAGCCTGAGTCGTGTTCCCACTACTGCTGTACTGGGGACAGTCTTACAAAAGTGAGCCCTCTGACGTGAACTGCATATAGATGTATAATCTTTATATATTTTTGTTGCATTACTCCCTTAAGCACTATATAATGATGCTCTTTGTCTCTCTGTAGCCGGCCCCTCCCCATGTAGTATCTTAATTTGTAGCCCAGGCTGTCTTGAAACTTTCACTCTCTCTTGAATGCTGATGTTACAGACAGGTATCATCACACTTGACTATGTTTTGTTTTAGGTTTTGTTTTTCTCTTTTTTAGTATCCGTGAGGCTAGTCTAATGGTCATGAATACTTCAGTCGTTCCTAGACTTCCTGGGTACCCATTTCTCCTTGATTTTTAAAGGCTGATCTTGCTAGGTACAGTTTTTTTATTTTTTTTCTTCCAGACTTGGGCTACCTCACTGTGTTTCCTCTTACACTGTAGAATTTTTGTTGAGAAATCTGCTGTTAGTCTAATGATGATCCTCTTGAAAGTTTTTTTTCTAGCAGATTAAAAAATTGTTTTGTACTTTTGGTAGCTTGTATACTATACAATATTCTAATATTCCGTGGTAAAGTTGTATGTTTGTCATACTTATTTCAGGGCCCTATAAGCTACCTATTCTTTCATATATACATAGATTTTTTTTCTGTTGCTTTCTGTGTCTTTTTTCTCCCCATCTTTTGTGCTTTTGAAATTCGGATATTTGTTTATTTAATGGCTCTCTATATTTTCAATATTCTCAGCACTCTTTTTGTTTGACTGGGCCATTTCAAAAAAAACTGTCTTCCTGTTCATAAAATCTTTATCCATTTGATCTAACTGGTTATTGAGGCTACCAATTGCAGTTTTTTCAAAATTAAAAAAACATTTACACATATGAATCTTTGCCTGGTAAGCAAAAGGTGTTTCTTCTTTCACTGTTGATGATGTTACTATCAAAATCCAGGCCTGGTAGCCTGGGTAGTCATGACAGTCTAAAGCACTTTTCCTCTGTGCAGTAGTATGACCTCAGGTGCAGCATTGGGAGAGGGAAGAACTATGAAACACCCTCAGTGCTGTTCACTGACGGTCTTGACAAGGTATGGTGGTGGGTAGCAGTATGTATGAGGGCAGGAGCAGGAATCATGATGCTCTTTGATGGTGTCTGCGCAGGAGCAGGACCTCAGCCAGAGTCCCTTGTGAGAAAGAGAGATGCCCTTTGATGTGACAGTTGGAACTTTTGTTGTTGTCTTTCAACTCTAGTGCCTCTCTGGGATTGAGGATGTGTGGGACATGGATATCTGGGCAAAGTTTTGTTTTTCCTCTTTGGTGTCTCTGTCTTTGTATGCCTATGGTCAAAGAGACAGCTATTCTCTCCAGCACCACAGGGTGCCTGCCTTCAGCCCAGGCACTAGCATGAAGCCACACGTGATAGAGCACATCTTTCCCCTGTCTATCTATGTCTCAACCCCCATCCCTTACAGTGCAGGTTACTCAAGAGGCTCAGGCCACAGCCACTGTGCTTAGTTAGGCTGAATTCACAAGCCAGCTATCCCTAAATGGTTAGAGTAGAACAAATGTGGGGTTTTAAAAGAGGAGATTTTCTGACCCCAAGAGGAGTCCAAAATCAGACAAGTAGCTTTCTTCTCTAGATGGCTCCTGGGTCTGGTATGTTGGATGTCTTTTGGGGAAAGAAGTGAAATCCTTTTCCAAAATAAGGCTGCTCATCATAGAGGAATTTTCCTGTAGGCAGAATTGCCAGCATCTACACTGCAAGGGTTTGCTGGGAAGCTCTTTTCAACTCTTATTCCTGCTAGGAAGACACATCCCCTGGTTTTGGAGATGTCTTGCTTTCATTCCATGCTATTGTCCCAGATCTGGAGTCTTCAATGCTTCTTCTCCCCAACCCCCCCCAGCCCCATATTTTAGTTTTCTCTTACCCCACTTACCTTAATGGAACTATATACCTGTTACTTTGGGTCTCTGTGGAGGAGGTGAGTTGTTTAATTCATCAGTATATCAAAAGGGAGGTAACATCAAAAAGAGGGGTCATGCTGAGCCAAACAATCAGACAAATGTTTTCTTCCTCTGAATTATGCATGTGTCTTTAGAGGAGACAGGCTCTATCTACGGGCAGATCTTAAAGGCAGGGTAAAGTGGTTTCCCATCCTAGTCTCCCTCTAATATTCCCCTCTATTCTATGCTTCTGATATTCTCAAGAAGAAGGGAATTGCAACATCAGTGCCTCTTCTGTGTCAAAATTGCTGGCAGCAACAGGTTAGACCTTTCTCCCATGAATCTCCCTTCTACCATGACAATGTTAAGTTTCCAAAGAGAGAAAAAAACAGCTTATCTAGGTAACTAAGGGTAACAAAGCTCCCTTAATAAATTCCGTGTTATTTTCTTAGGTCACATAGTGAGCCAAGAACAAATCAAGTCCCCATTATCCACAGGCTGTTAGCTGTCTTTGGCCTAATGGGTCTCCTCTCTTTCCTTCATCCACAAGTCAGTCAGAATATTTTATTTAAATTAAAGATTAAAGATACTGCTTTAAGGTAATTTTTTGCATGGATATTAATTTGCAATCAGGAAGGAGCAAAGACCAAAGAAGTTAGCTACCAGAAACCTTTAGGGGAGTCAGGAGAGGACTAGCAAACGTACCCTTTCTGCTACAAATCTCACAGACTGCACACTGGTTCCATATAAATTGTCATTGTACTGGCCAGCTTCTATAAATTTGTGCTCTTGGATATCTTTCTCCATTTGTTCTCTAGAAATGACAAAGTGATAGTCTCTGCCGTCAACTTCGTAGTCACGCTTTGGCCTCGTAGTATCTTTATAAAAGAAGAAATAATGAAGGTAAGATGAACTTATAATTTAACTTCTTTTCCATGTGATATTTTCTCTACTAGTCCTTCAGCACAGATACACGGATATATGTCATATGTAATATGATGGGCCATAATATAGCAACAAGTGACAGTCTTACCATCCAGATAAGCAATGATGAAACAGGACAAAATACAAGAAATAACTTGTTTCAGGTATCAAACAGCAGACAAGGCACAGTTGTAATTATAAAGGATTAGAGACATGTGAGGGCAAGTTTCTATTTATCCTTCCTCTGATGCTGTGTCTAAGTGGAGAGTCCAGAGGCCACTCAGTTGTAAAAGATACTGCAGTTCATGTAAAATTGGACAGTTGGCTATTTGAGGACTGCCTTCAAAAGTCTAAAAGAAAGTTACAAATACAACAAGCTGGTCTGTCAGTACATTATTGCTTAAAAAAAAAAAGAGTAACAAAATCCAGATTCTCAACAAGACAGCACCACAACCAAGAGTGAGTGAATGTAATTCTAGCACTCAGGATTCAGAAGCAAGGTCATGAGTTCCAGACCAGTAGGGACTACATAGTGAGCCCCTGTTTTCAAATAACCACTACCACAAAATTGATAGCGCTACAACACAGACAGCGCATAGATTAGTAAAGTCGCAAGGAAAATGTGCCATATACTTAGGAGGTAAGAAGACCACATAATTATGAATATGTTTAAATGTTTAAAATAGGCTTAAAGTTACATATAGTTATGTATAGTTTAGGTGGGACTGAAAGTGATCAAATCTAACAATTTTATGTTAATGTTTTGTTAAGGGGACGATGTGAGAATAGCCATATAACTTTAAAAAGTTAACATGTGTTCAATCTTGAAGTTGATGAAAGCTAAGACCATTTTATTTCTAACTATACTCACTATAGTAATTTATAAAATATAACCCATAATATCAAAAAAGGAAAGGAAATCCAAAAGGTCTATACATTTTTCGGTGAATATAATTATTTTAAATGTTATTATATAACAGCTTAGATTTAAAAATTTATTAGGAGAAAGAATGAGCATATTTTAGTATTATGTGATATTCTATATGCTTCATGATTCTTTGGTTACCTAATTTCTTTTCATTCTGTAAAATAAATATATACTTATTACCATAGAACAGTGCTATTCATGAAAGAGGAAGAAAAACGGGAAAAGAAGAAGGGAATTGTGTGCAAGGCGGGAGGGCAAGTGGCAATGATGATGTTTAAAGTTCTTCTGATTCCGTTCTCTCAGCTTCAGTCAACAGCTTCCTCTTGCCCCTTCCCACCTGAAGACTGCTTGGCATGAGGACTCACTGTCCTGAGTCATTCAGAGACAATTTCACTGTGTGGTTTTGCTTCTGATCACCCTTGCTCAATGGATAAGGGTGTCACAGTGGCATTTCAGCCAATCTAGAAGAACTCACTGGGGCTTATAAAGAGCATGTTGTCTCAAGTGCTAGGGGACGTTCCAGGAGATCTTGTTATCTTCCAGGGATGAGGGTCAGTCCTTATCAACAGAAAATAGTACGTGACAGCCCAGATGAAAAGTGTTAGGTGGATATCCCAAGTCCTGTGCTCAGATAATAGGTAACTGATGACATATGAATCACACCAGAGACACTCCTTGAAGGGCAGGATTATGTTTGATTATCTATCAAGGATTCACGTTTTGGCCCAGAGAAAAGAAAAGTGAGACTTACGAGGCACACAGGAGCCAAATTTATCAGGAAATTCAGATATCAAGTCATCATTGATTCGATCCTTCATGGGGCCCAGGATAATCACCGGCCGGGTGTAGTTTACTGCAGGGAGGGAAAGGAAGATGCAGACGGTGCAATTCAAATGCAGTCCAGCCCCTCTTCAGAAGCGATTCTTCATGGCAGACTGCCAGCAAGTTGCCCTAAGCCTTATCCTGGGGTGAACTACTCATAGAACCCTGCACGCAGGAATGCACGTTTAGCCCTCTAGTTTAGCCCTTTAGTCAGGATGCTGACTCTGCTGCTGTTTGGATTTTTACTAACAGACAATAAAGCACCTGCAGCAGCTGCCAATGGAAAGGAGGAGGAGTTTTGCTTCTTTCAGACTTTAACTACCCCATGTCAAAACACTTGGATTTAGGGAGCCTAGGGGCAAAAAAAGCCAACCAGCCTTTTGGCCATTATTTAAAGTCATTGTTAATAACAACAACACTTCATGTATGTGCACTTTTTTTCCTCAGCTAAAAATACTGTCTGTGCTCCGCTGGGGACTTTGTGATTCCCTTGTGTTTTAGAAGGTATTTTAGACTATTTGATGCAAGGATGCTTCAATTTTCTCTGCAACACTTCTGCCGGCCTCCATCAGCTCTGTATAAATGTCTCCTGGAGCAGCCTACAGGTGGCCTGCCTCTGAGGTCTCCTAGGAAGTCCCTTCCAAAACTGGGCTGGCATCAGCTTCCCGGAAGCTGTTTTCCATCCGTCCTCCAGCTCAGGGCCCTCTGTGATTTGGACATGGGCCTTTTTTATTGAGGTCCCACCTCTCAAGGACTGTTCTGTCCTCTGGGAGCCATTACTGAGCCTGTGTCTGAGTATTATGCTGAGTTTGATGTCACCTGTCATAGCCTGGAAATCAGGAACTTGGGTATGCCGGGGAACTTACTTTCCTGCCTTGTGACAGGCTCATAGGAAAGAATGAGATCTTCTTGTCCTCCTGAGAAGAAAAGAAAGGAAAATTACAGTTAACAAACAGCCAGCCACAGCCGATAACTACAGTTCCTGTTCCAAAACACAGGAAATGCACAGTTGAGGGTTAATTTTCCTTGCACTCCCTCCTTGAACCATTCAAAAATGCCTCCATCCTCATAAAACTCTAAAGCCTGGCTATTGCACAGTCATAACTTTAAGTGATAATGGGCTGCTAGCTCTCTGCAGTGAGGGAGTTATCTGAAGGAGTGCTTTTTATCTGACGTTAGAAATGGTGCGCCATGCCTTCACACCAAGCATTACAAATAAAGCTACTTAGGAAAGGTTCATCCCATAATGCCACGCTACTTCATCAGAATTTCTGATCCTTGTAATTCATCTCCTATTTTATTTTCCTAAGTATGTGGTCCAAAAGCATGTGTCTATTTCATTTAAGACATATAAACTTTGTGAGAATATTATTACAGGATGCTAGGGGTTTAGTCTAATACTGAGTCATCAGGAGTCTGCCCTTGGTCAGTTTAATTAGATTCAAATTGAGGACACTGGGGTTATAGCTGTGGGACAGAGCATGCACTTAACATGTGGGAGACCTACTTCAAGCCCTGGTCCCTCTCCAAGTTGAAAGGTGTGTCCTAGGCAGTTGGTTAAGACTGCTGCTAACTCGTGCCCCGAGGCCTCAGAATGAAAACTAAGGTAAGCAATGCTGCAAAAATGCCAGCATTTCCACCAGCATCTGTTGCATGTCCTCTGCCTCAGGGTGGGCCTTGAGCCAACTGGTTACTATAGGGAGGTAATTTCAGCTTTGTTTAGCAATTAGTTTTAAGTCAAATTGATACACTAGATCAAATAGTTGGTCATGGGGTTGTCCCAGTCCAGCTGCAAATCCCAAACCTTCTGCTTCTATATTTGCATTAGGTTTAGCGTTGACCAATCTTTGGTGTGAGAATAGGGTAGAGATGTTGGAAACAGTTCAGTGTCTGCTTGAGGAGACACTGGAGGAGTTGTGGGATGGGAGGTGCTCTTTGCCAAGGCCAAAAGAGAGTCAACCTCATTGTTCTGTACTATAGTGTCCATGGACTGACCATCCCAAACAGTCTGTCACTACCAGTTTCTCTTTCATAGCTCCAATGTGGAAAATGCATAGATGGTTTTGGTAACTGCAGTTGATTTGGGTAACTCTTACGATATGTTTGTAATTGTAGAGAGCCTTGGTAGTGGTAAGAAATGGCTACCAACTTAAGTCACTTTTACCTTTACCCCAAAGAGGACTTATTGCTGGGACTGGCACTGCTAGGCCATACTATATCTTGAAGGGACAATGAGACTTGCTCCACATCTGCCCTAGAAGGGCTTAGGACAAACCCTTATGTCTGAGAAAGGCATCAGTGTGGGATGTTTCAGAATTTTATGTACTCAGGGAAAGAATCAAACACAAAAATCAGAGTTGAAGTGGGGAAAAAGTGACTGATGTTAAAGTCCCAGTTATCTGATCTGCAGATACACTGACATGCAGAAGGTGGGGGAGGGGGGAGTTTGTGGTGAAAAAGTCTGAGGGACAGTAGCATGGTTCACCCATGGTGGCAACGCTTGACTCTGACTTCATAGGGAAGGCTTGGTCAAATAGTCTGAATGGAGAATCCTGAGAAGGAGACAGAGCTGCAGGTGTCAGGGGCCAATATCAGAGGCTGCCTGCTACACTGGTTGTTCCATGAAAAATGCCATCCGCCACTGTGACTCAAGTGTTTTAAGATGTCAGAAGTCACGTTGTGATTTCCGTTGTAAAGAACAAGATGAGTAATGAGCCCAAAGGAAGACTTTATTCTGTGTGTCTGTGAATATAATCATTTCATTTTGGGAAATATAGTTTCCTCTAAATAAATATAATACGTCATGCTTCTATTTGAATCTCTTTCCAGTCATCTTGCAGAGCACCCCAATGGGATCTTCTGGACGCAAATCTTAAATAACATCTGATGTCAGTCTGCATCATTGTGATTCAGAAAACTGGGACAAGCCCAGATTTTCTTTTACGACAGAATTGTTTGTCCAGTGGTTTTTAGTATGCTTCTTATGGAAGGAACTGGTTTTCATTGAGAGCAGGCGGTAATGAAGCATCCTCTATGCATCCTGGCCCTTATGGGCCTGTTCAAGCAGGTACTGTGTGTGCATGGGAAGTGGTTGGAGAAGCCATGAGGTTGAGGCTATGTGAGACATATGGATTCAGCACCTTAACTCAGTTTCCATGCTCCAGTTTAAAAAACAAAACGGCCTAATGAGTAGTGGAAAAGAAACAGTGGAAACAGCCATTCTTACAGCAAAAAAGAGAGAAAAATGCACCTCTCTATGTCATTCTGCAGGACACAGGGGCTTTCCTTTCCTATCATTGGCGGCTTGTTCTCTTGGTAGTTGGTACTCTGGTGACCCATTTTATAGATGGAGAAGCTGAATCTGATGAGGCCCATTTGCTCTTAGTATATAGCCGAACCACGATTTAAATTCACAGCTGTTTTTCTCCGTTGGGTATTTCACTGTCTTAGGAGGGCGGGAGGTGTAGACTTCTCCATGGCAGTCACTGCAGTGAGCCAAGGGCATGGCTCAGAAAAGAGGGCAGGATCAGAGAGGCCCGCCTGTAGACACCCGCACTTCAGCTTTCCCTTGCTCTCTGTTGATATCATCCTCTGTAATCATCCTTAGTAGTTTTTTTTCCCTCTTTTTCCTCACAAGAGTTTGGCACTTAGAATAACAGCTGGCAAAAGGTACAAACCATGCTCAGTCTTATTTTGGCAACGTTGTTGGCTGGCAGTGGGCAAACAGCGCAGGCTGTGGGGTTTGTTGCCGTCAGACACTTGGCGGAGTTGTTTTCTAACAGACTCTGTACAACTCTGGGTGTGGGGAACAAGAACCCATTGCAGTGAAGTGTGGCTAGAGCAAGACTCCAGTGCTCCTTACCCAGAGACCCTCCCCCCCAAAAAAAGCTTCTGTTCTTCTAGGTTCTTGGAAACAAGAGAGGGAGTAGGGGAGTTGTATTTAAAGTTCTTAATTTAGTTCTTAATGCTCACACCTGACAGCTGTTCTGAATCAGGCTGAGAACGTTAGCATCAGAAAAGTTTAGGGTGGCGAGTAAGGACCTTGTGGTGGCACGCTTCCATTCTGTGCCCTCAAGGGGCAACATACAGTAGTCACTGCCTGGACTGCTGATGAGCTTCAGTGTTGTCACAAAAGTCTTTCATGGTTATTTCTTAGTTTTTCTTTTATGACTCCAGATGTTTTGCTTGCATGTATGTCTGTACATTTTCATATTCCTGGTGCCTGTGGAGGCAAGAGAGGCTATTGCACCCTCTTGAAACAAACATTTACAAACAGTTCTAAATCTCCATATGGGTACTTGGAATCAAACTCAGGTCTTCCGGAAGAATAGCAAGTATTCTTAACTGCTGAACCATCTCTCTGGCTCCTTTATACAATTCTTCAAGCAGCTTCAATTGGTTACAGTTGACATGTTGATTTACATCGATTCCTTAGCTCTGTTTCCATGAGACAGCCAAAAGATTAAATTGCTCAGCCAACAAACCAGGCTTAGTGCACAGTTAATGCTGGAAGCAGTTTTAGTCTTAATAATCTGATCCATGGTCCAGAATGGTGGCAACGTATTGGACGAAACAGCAAGAAGCTGGGGTTACAGAGCAGAGGGTGGAGGGAAGCGTGCATGGAGCCAGAATCACAAGATGTCCTTGCAACCTCAGGGCCACCGCTTCCTGGTGAGGTCCACAGCCTCTTAGAGCCCTGGCTGCCTCCTGTGCAAAGTAGGCTGTCAAGATAAGACCTACCTACCCACAGTTTCATCGCAGAAGTCAACCAAGACAGTAAAGTTGAAAGGATTAAAGGCAGCAGTGGGCAATGCTTGTGAAACGTGGAGCAGGATAGAGAGTATGAGAGCCATGGTCACCGACTGCTTCGGAGAAGTCTTGGGTCTCCTCTCCCAGAGACCGTACTCAGGTCATTTCCTCGAGATCCTCATTTGGAAAATCCCAATTTAATTGATGAATACTGATGGACAGGAAGGATAATGGTCAACTCCCATACATCCATTATGTGCAAAGAGCTTGACGGAGCTTTGAGAAGGTGGGTCTTCAGCTGTGGAGGTTTGCTTGGTCTTGACAATACCTGCTTGGTATTTATTGCCTCCCAATACAAGGGCAGTTGGAAAGTACATACAGAAAGGCCAAAAACATGAGCCTTAACTTCACTACTTTATTGGCAGACAAAAATTTGGAACTATTCAATAGTTCAGGTTTTGAAGTGGTATTTTGTATAATTAGGCAATATGCATGCTAATTTCATCTTAGCTGCTGATCAATATAGTTCTACTTGGAAAAATTATTCTGTAATGCTTTACTTGGTGTGGCGGATGTCTGAATTATGTTTAAAAGTGGAGGCGTGGAGGCATGCCTGTGTAGGGACGTGTCTCCAGAGTGCAGTGTGAATGGGGTTTTGCTCACTGCGCAGTATTAGCTTTGGACTATCTTGTATCACTCAGTTTTTATAAAGTTACCTTTGTATCCAGATTGAACAGGCATGTTCAAACATTTGCAAAGGGTCTTTCCATATTCATTTGCATTACTATTTATGAGACAAAACTAGTCTCAATTACAGCAAAAGGCAGAAATTTACCACAAAAATACAGCCTATTTTTAATCAAAGTTGCCTCGTTCTAGAACACATGTCTTGGCCATACTTCTGACTTTTTGTCATGGCATTGCCCCTCACAGAAAGTTCCTTTCTCCTTTTGCCAAGTGCTCTTCTTTCCAAAGCTTAGCACACAGGTCGCTTCCTGTCTGCAGGACACTTCCTATCTGGAAGGAGCACTGATGATGCATCTGTTGTCCTGGAGTCAAACTCTTATCCTGGTCTCAGCAGTTCCTGTTCATCTACTGAACTCTGATTCCTAGTACATGTGCACTGAGACCTCGGCTTGATGGATTTTCATATTGGGTTTTATAGTGC